TCATCATAGTGATAGTGCTGAGACTTAACCCCTGTGCTACCAAGGATGCCCTGCTATTTGTTTCTTATTTGTCTTAACTGTTGTTTCTTTTTCCTTTTTTTCTGTCTTACCTCTGTCTGTTTTGAATGAATATTAAAATTATGTTTTTATTCTTTATTGGCTCATAAGTTATAACTCCTCCCCCTTATTTTAACTTGAACTAGAAGTAAGCATACATCTTTAATTTATTACAATCTGTTGTCCATTGAATTATACCACATCCCTTATCATATGGCTATACTTAATTATAGGATATAACTTACAATAGAATATTTACATGTCTTTCATTAAGTAGCCCTAATAATATTATTGTCATATACCTCACTTATACATAGGGTATAAAACCCACAGTAAGTTATTACTATTGTTGTTTATGGTCTTTTAAAGATTTTAACACTTTATCTTTTAAAGATTTAAATGATAAGGAATACAACTTTTACTTTTGTTGTTACTATTTCTAATTTCTTCATTCCTTATGCACATCTATATTTCCAGAAATCTGTAGTTATTTTCCTTCCACCTGATACATTAACTTTAACATTTCTTATAGTGTGAATGTCCTCGTTATTCTTTCATCTTTTTAACACTTGAAGAAAATTTTAATATGGTCTTTAGTCTTGTAAGATATTCTTTGCTGAAAATAGAATCCTAGGTTTGCATTTTTTTGTTCAGTGTTTCAAAAATGTTCTACTCTATCTGCTTGCACTATTTCTGTTATAAAGTCTGTTGTCATCTTTACCTTTTACCCTCCATGTTTTCTTTTCTCTGACAGCTACAAAGATTTCCTCTTCCCCACAGGATTTTAGTAATTTCATAAAGAAATGTCTTTATGTATTTTTTTTAATATTCCTAATGTTTGGGTTCGTTGAGCTTGTCCTCTCTGTGAATTTCTATCAAACTTTGAAAAATACCAGCACTATTTCTTTTTAAAATTTATTTCTGTTTTAGATTTTCATTTATTTATATTTATGTAGAAGAAATAGGATGAAGACCAGAGGTGTGGGCGTGGTGGTGAAAAGGGGGAGTGTGAGAGGATTACCCAGAGACAGACTGGGGAGCAGAGCAGGAAGATTTATTGAAATATTCTGCTAAGGAGAGCAGTGGGCAAGACAGGGGAGTATGCTGCCCATATGTGGGTTGTGGGTTAGCTCCCTTGCCCCAGATGAAACTGAGGCCATTGTGATAGGCTGTTATGTGGGCCATCATGGTGATAGCACTGAGACTTAACCCCCAGGCCACCAGGGAGGCCCCTAGCACTGTTTCTTTAAATGTCTTCTTTTTAATTCCCTTTTCTGTATATTGTGTTTTAGAAAGCTTCTATTGCTATATCTTTAAATTCACTGATCCTTTCTTATATAGCCTCTGCACATCTGTTAATACCATTCAGTGTAATCCTTCACCTTAAAGATTGTTTTTTTCTCTAGAAGTTAGATTTAAAAATATTTTGTACCTTCCTGGTCTCTAACTTTTTTTGAGGATCTTACCATTTAGCCATTTTAATGTTCTTGTCTATTATAACATCTGTATCAGTTGTGGGTCAATTTTAGTGATTTAGCTTTTTTCTCATTTTGGGTCCTATTTTTCTGCTTTGCTGTGTTACAATATTTGATTGAATGGCAGACATTATGGATTTTATCTTTTTGGGTGCTGAAAATTTTGTATTCCTGTAAATATGTTTGTATTTTAAAATGCAGTTAAATTACTTCAACATAGTTTGATTCTTTAGAGTTTTACTTTTTTTTACAGCACAAAGCAGTATTTAGTCTAGGATAATTATTCTGCATTACCATGGTAGGGCACTTTGGAGTTCTGTACTTCATTGTGTTGAGGGGGTTCTAGTCAGCCTAGTGGGAACACAGTTCCTGGCACACTTTCAGCACCCAGTAGTATTCCTTCTAATGCTTTTAGATGCCTTATTCTTTCCTGACTTAGGGTAGATTAGATTTCCTCACATCCATGCACTGATATTCACTGTTGAATTCTCCATGAGGCACCTGTGCAGATTGGTAGGATTTTCTGTCTGCACTCTATCTGGTGAACTCTAAGCCATCTTATTCTTCCTTAACTTACAATTCCATCTCAATTCAAGGAATCTAGTGGATTCTTTTGCAATCCCCACTTCCTAGGCCATGTCTGTAAGTTCTCTGAAGTTAGTAAGTTGAGGTAAGTTTTGTTCACTGACTCTCTCTGAGGCATCCCTCTCCTTCAGGGCCTAATATCCAGTATCTTAAAAACAGTTTTATATATTTTGTGTGGCTACTTTTTTAGGGGGAGGAGGTATTGGGTTAGGTGGATGGTAGAAATGGTCCTTGTTACTCCATCTTGGCTGGATTCAGATGTTCCCCTAAGGCTCTACTTTTAACAGTCATCTCACATTTTGAGGAGAGGGAGAAAATAGTTCCGAGAGTCTATAACCAATTGCTTCTGGTGTAACTGCTCTGTAAAATGAATTGTGACTGTTGTTTAGTCTGCTTATTTAATACTTCTTAAGACTCCAGAATATTATAAAGGTTTGCTGTAAGTGGTGGTTTATAGATTCTTTGGGCCAGACTTCAGAGCTGTGGGACTTCTCTTAAATGTGCCACTAACATTTTCAAAACACAGGAGGCCATTGATAGATTGCAAATCAGTTTACACTGTTACTTGGTAGTCAGTCTGCAAACTTCTTTCTGCTTCTACTTGTGTCTGTTTCTACTTGTGGCTTCAGTAAAGGAAAATTTATTCTCTAAAGATCTTAATAGTAAATCTATATAGTGCCCCTGTGTAGACAGTTTACTGTGATTCAAGGACTTATTTGTGGAACACTAAAAACCTCTTAGTCCAACTCCAAAAAGTGTTGGGTAACTCTTGTTTTTCTTATTCTTGAGAATTCATTTGTAATTAGACACTCCTAATATCTTATTTGCATGAAAAAGAAAAAACCTTTATTTTAATTACAGCAAGGGTGAGAGAGGGCTTAAGGAAAGTTGAAAATAATCATAAACTGAATATATTTTTAAGCACTGGAAAAGTGGGTGGACAAAGAATGGGTAGACTATTTTTTATTTTTGTATTTCAAAGATTTAGCCCTCAAAACAAATACAATAATTTAATTTCTTGTGTTTTGAATCAGACATATGTAGCTGTCCAGCAAAGCTTTCATTAGCATGAAGTGACTATTATTTACTTAGTGTCATTTAATTCAGACAAGTAGAATCTTATGGTTATAGGTCACCTAGATAGCATATTGTATATAAATGTATAATATTTTTAGGCTTTTAGAGATATTGAAAATAGCTTTTTCTTCATAGATTGTCTGGGGCCTAGGGACATCCAATAGGTAGCCTACAGTTCCCAAGTATTACAGCATTTCATTGCATTCTTTTAGTTGAATTATTATAGTCATCGATGTAGCTAGTATGGAGAAGAGGAACTGATTTAGGAAGCAGTGAGTGTCAATGTATAGTGATAGCAGTGTCAGCTGTATGTTGATAAGACGTTAGGGACTGTCAGGCAGATGTGTAAACAGAAGAGTAGTTGGAGATTAGGTAGAAAAAGTAGGTGAAGTCAAATCAAAGATCCTGTATTCTTTAAATCTGTCTTCTATACAGGGATGGCAGTGAAAATGAGAAGGAACATTGAGAAGATTATAATGGAGAAAGCCCAGGACCTGGCAATTAAATGTCAGGATTGAAAGGAAAGAAGAGTGGAAGATTTTCAGCTAGGACTCAAGTGTTATTATTACTAATAGAAAAGTCAGAGAGAAGAGCTTGAACAAAGCAGTGCCAGAGATCCCTGAAACTTTTTAAAAACTCCCAAATTGTTGGTGTGACTCCTGACTGGAAAGTGCTTTCACTGTAGTTCTCCTTTGATTGTTGGGCCTAGCAGAATGAAATTAAAACATGGAAGAGCACTTGGGAGCATAAGGTCAGGGTTCCAAGTCTACATTTTACAGATAAGGAAATTGTGACTTCCCTTAAGGCCACATAATTAGGCTGACCTCCTGGCACTCTTCTGAAATTCTAGCAAGATTACTGTGTTGATATCATTTTTGCCTGTTGCAAAGAAAGCCTTGTGTTTCTTCCCCGACCCCCAGCATAATAATTCAATCTAGAATAGACTTCAGTCCTCAAACTGCTTTTCACATTCCGAATTCAAATAATAACTAAAATGATTCCTTCTAGGTGGTCTGTTTTCCTTTCTGCATAGATGTAGTCACAAATCTTTTATCAATATATTATGGGCATTAGTGCCAAACTTGGCCAGGGTGTAATGGATCTACTCTTTTGAAAAATGCCCTTGTTGTTTGAGAGGAGAGGAAATGATTAACATTATTGAAGGCTCAGATGAGGATCCTTACTGGGAGTCATTTCCACAGTTTTTATAATGAGGATGTATAGTGGAAGTCTGTAAAGGAGCTGCTTCCTTTGCCCCTCTAAACCCATTTCCCTATGACTTCTCACACACAGACCCTGGCTTAGAGTGGGACTCCTACTTTTTCTGAGGAGAATGAGATTGTGCCAATGCCTTGATTAAATGAGCTCTGTTCTTAAGATATTACTCATTTCTACACCTTAGTTAGAATCTAAGAATCTTAGAGTGCCTTCTTTTTCCTTTACCAAGCCTTTTCCTCATTTTACCCCAAGGTATCCCCTCTCCCTTACCCCTTGCAATCTTCAACGCCCTACTCTTCTTTTCCTTCTCCGTTCACTTACACCCAGACTAGAGTCACCTTTACCTACTTTGGGCCTCAGGGGGGCCACATCTAGCCCGCGGCAACTCTCCAGTCTCGCGCCCCCTAGCGTGCCCGGGACTGGCTGAATGGGCATAAGCCCCACCCCTCTCTTTGGGCGGGGCCCGCGGAGAGACGCCGTTGATTGGTTAAGGCGGAGCCTGTTGCGGGGGCAGAGCCCAGAGTTCAGGCCAGGGCTGAGAGCCCTGCGGGCGCCGCTGGGGGTGGGAGGCGTGGTGCGGAACCCTGCCGAGTGTGGCGCAGCTGAAGCTGGGCGTCCCGCTCGCCACGCGCCGGGCGTGGGTTCGGGTAGGTAAGTGTGGAAGGGGTCCCGGAGCCGTGTGGGGTCTGGTGAAGGGAGCCCTGGGGTTCGCCCGAAGCAGGTGTGCTTTGGACAGACAGGCCCCAGTGCAACTTCGCTAGGTAGGCGCTTGGGGCGCCGAGGGCGGTCCCCTGGTGTGAGCCCCCAGCGGGAGGGAGACACCAGGTCGGACTCCAGCTTTGCAGCACTCGTTTACGGCTTTAGCTAACGGAGAGATAACATTTACGTTGTTTTACACACTTCCCTGCATTTCGAGAAATCTCAGGTACTGTAGGTAGAATTTAATATTCTTTAAAATTTATTGCTAGCTTTTGACTCAGAATTGGAGGAGAAAATGGGTAGTGACTTGCGGTAAGGCTTTATTTTGACTTAGTGTTATTACTTTTACAGGAAGGGTGCGACTGGTAATGGGACTGTTATTTAAACAAGGGCACCAGGGTTTACATAGGCAATGTGTCATTGGGATAAAGCCAGGAGAGTGCTTGGTTTTGACTGTATTTCTTAATACTTGGGTACTTGCTTTATTTCTTTATGCCTTTGTTCCCTTGTATTTAAATGGGAATGATGATAGTTCAAGGCTTAAAGAATTGTTATAAGGATTAAATGAGTTAGTGTTAGTGCCCTGCACATAATCTTTAATAATGTTGGCTATTTTTATGATGATGATGATTATGCACTCAGGTGGGCATTTTCCTTCCATGTTGTCACTAAGAGAAAATTTTCTGCAGAGCTGTTGCTCGAACAGGGTTCAAGGACTGGGTCTCACAAGGCGAGATTTCATTGCTTTTCTGTGGTACCAGAAGTATCACCTACTGTGATCTTCCAAATCAAATCCATTCTCAATACGGAAACTTAAGTACTTTGAAGGTACTTAAAGATTAATCTCTTTAAAAATTAAAAGAGATTAAAGTGGCATCACCTTTAGTGTGTGTATCCTCATTTGAAGCACCAAGTAGACTTAAAATAAGTTAATTTGACTTTACACATAACTTAAAAGTTGTACTATATGAAAAGGTACTTATCTACTGTTATGGAAAAACTAGGTAAGTAGAGCACTGGGGTTTATAAGTAAATTAAACCTAATAGGAACCATGACTGACCATATACAATCTGAGAGTTGAAAGGAATCTGAAAAATTAAACCAGCTGCCCATTACAGGTAAGGTTGAGACCCAAAGACCCATAACCAGTAAATGGCAACGCTCCACTAGAATTCAGCTCTGATGAACAAGTTATAAAATCTAAGAATGATATTGCTTTTCTACTTTTTATTATAGTACTGTTTTTATTTTTGACAGTTTTATGGTCCTGTGAATGGTTTCTTTCTCAGCAACATCCTGCTTGGTAGCTTAATTGCATGATTCATAATCATTCTTCTGCACCTTTGATTTAAATCACAAGTCTTAAAGTTGCTACATCAATGATTGCTTTGAGAAGATGATTGTCTTGGTAAGCTTTGTACAAACATGTTCTAACAGTGCTTTGGTTTTAAAATGCAGTCCTTTCTCCCATATAGGGAATATGAACAGCCAGAATAAACAAAGTGACCTACTAGGCAATTGGTTATCACTTTGTCGTTGGTAAAGTTTTCTTAGAACACTGAATGCTAGCCCAAGGATATAGGACTCGGTCACTTAAGAGATATGGAGATATGTTGCAATTGCTGCTAACTTCAAAACCATCATGGAGTGAAATTATTTGTAGAAATTGATGTGTTAGTCGCTGACTGTACCCTGGCTACTTGCATAGCTCACTCCCTTACCTCTAGGTATTTGTTCAGATGTTAACATCTCAGTCAGGGCCTTCTAATTAAAATTCCATACAACCCCAGTTCTTCCTGTAATAACATATGTTTACTTACTTGTTCATTATCTGTTGTTTGCAAGTAAAGGGTAAGATCCATGAGGGGAAATATACTTACTAGTGTGTTCACTGCTCAATCTTAGGTGCCTAGAAACAATGTACTAGACACTGTTTGGTTTCAAATTCATAGATCTGATGTGAACGTTTCCAGTTAGGGAAGTAATTACTAAAGTGAAATCACTGTTGTTTTGGCTTGCATTCCCCCCCTCAATCCTCATTTCTAGTTATATCTCTTGGTTACCAAGGAATAAAACCTTGAGGCAAAGTTAATTTCTCCTTTTACTTTGTATTCCACATGCAAATGACTACTTATTTTTTTCTGTTAATTTTTTGCAAACCTGTCATTCCTATTATCAAGCTTGTTTCTTTAAACTCTCCTTCATTTCATTACCATCTTCAACACCTACAACCCTGCAAATAACATTTTCAAATGCCTTCACATCCTCATCTGCAGAATGAAATCCAAAATGAGAAGCCTTGCAGTCTAATATTTCTTTGTGATCTCAAATTCACTCTTCCAGCCTCTATTTCCTATTCATAAAAAGAAGTATTTATACTTTTGCTTATAAATACAGAAGTAAAATTTGACTTTAATGGTAACACTCTGTAAAATTGCATGAGGAGTATTGCTTCCTGACAGTTTTTCTGTCTGCTTTTATTAATGATGGGTCTTTTCCTCTATGTAGGCAGGAATTCAGGAAAATGGCCTTGTGGTCATTCCTGTTTGTACTGAGGACTTTTGCTTCTCTCTTTGAGTACCCAGCCTTCAAAACTTCCCTCACATGTCACCACCACCCCCAAATACCTAGTTCATTTCAGTTGAAAGTAGTTTTCATCTGAATTCTATTGACATATCATTCTTAGAGCATTTGTCATAATCTACTTTGGGTATTTGTTGCTGAAGGACAAAAAACCATAAATTCCATGTAACTTTTTAAGGAAAAATAAAGTGCCTTCTACTTAACTGATTTTAAGTAAAAGTGAATTTAAGTTTCTATTTAGTAGATCTTTAGTTTCTATTTAATAGATCTTTATTGAGCTTCAGTAGTGGTATGAACTGTAGACAGCTTATGAAAGTAGGGGGAAGTTGTAAGTGAAGATAGTGAGAACGGGATTCATAGAAGGGAGTAGGTGTAGACAGGGGTGCAGCATAGTCAACACCCCCATAGATGGACAGGCAGAAAGTGAAAACAGAAAAACACAGTGAACTCACTCAGGAAACCGCTAGGACACAACAGGCTATGGAGCAACATGTGCAGCTTTGAATTTCCTTGTGAGATATTAGTGCTAAGCATTATTTTTGTTTTTGCTTCTCTAGACATATGTGATACTTACTGTATACCTACTTTATTTTCTAAGCTGGGTAGGACTGACTGAATATTCTCTTCCTCTTTCTGTTCTGCAGAAAGTAATTTACCTTTTCCCTTCTTGTTTAAACTAAAAAAAAAATCATATTGCTTAATTTATTTTTCTGGCTATACTGAGGTACAGATCAGAGCTTTTAGTTCTTCAGCAGAAGGTGGTAATAAAAGATAACTGAGTTTATGTTGAAGCTTCTAGTTTTATTAAGTTGATTTACTTAATTTCATTTATTCTAGTTTGATTTGAGATTTAATACTATAAAGCATTTCATTTACTTATATGTTTTATTTTGTTTCCTTAGGAATATATCTTGGATTTAAATATATAATTGGTTACAATTTTTGTCCTTTGGGAAATTTCTTGTAATGTGCTAAAAATAAAGTTTTACCCTTAAAAGAAGAATTTTGAAAGCAAATATTGGCTTTGGAGTAGTTTTCTTTATCACACTGTATATGTAACTGTGTTTATTCTGAGTTACTGTTTTTAAAAACCTCAGCAAAGGGTATTAAACAGATAAGATCATTCATACAAGTAATAAAAGTTAGAGCACAGACTGATTACATATCTGTTGTACTTGGTAATCACTATGATAAATATTTGTTAAGTAAATATATCTCTAAAAAATCTCTTTTAGGGAGATTTTTAAGATTTTGTAGCACATTAGTTTGTATAATAATGGGATTAATCTAATAAAGGGGGGTAAATTGATGGTTTAGGAGATGGTTTAATGAAGAGCCAGTGGTTCCTTTGCTCACTTCAGCAAACTGAAATTTCTAAGTTTGTCTCACCTCCTATTTGTTGAATTAATAAATTAAACATGTATGGAACCTACTAAGTGTATGACAGTAAGGCACAATTACTGTGCTCTACTCAAGTGAGTTCTCTGTGAACAAGCAATATACAGTACTAGTTGATACTTGCTAAAAGGAAAAGTATTAGGATGCCGATAGAAGATTAATTTGTGGAAGAAGCACTTAAGTTAAGGTGATTATGAAGACTTGGAAGAAGTGGCATTTGAACAAAGGCACCTGGTGGGATGCAGCTGTAGCGGCACAAAGAGATTAGACTGTGTAGGTTGTTGTAGAATGTTAGCAATAATTTAGAAGTTCGAGTTTGTTCTAGGAACAATAGGAAGCCATGGAAAAGATGTAAGTAAAGGAGTAAATGATCAGATTTAACAGTGATTTAAAAAATTACTCTGGGTCTGGATTGCAGAGATACCAACTAGAGCTTCTCTCAGGAGACGTGGTTAAAGTGTGTTGGTTGATTGTTGTCTTTGTGGACGAGGACCGTTTGTTTGATGCTCTTCAATCAGAATATTCCAATTTTCCGGTCACTACCAGCTTTTTCCTCTGCGTTTTAGGGCCTGCAGTATTTTACTACTGCTAGTTCTGTGTAAATCCCCCCTTCTCTTGCTCGTCCATCTATCACTCCCTCAGTGATTACAGTCCTCTAGGAATCATCCTTGGAGTACTTTGTTCACCTGTATCTTGAAGATACCTTCAGGTGTGCCTCCCAGTGGAAAAGATCGGGAAGCTGTATTACAACAGGCTTTCTGGTTATAGGGATCCCAAGAGGCCGGTGTTGTGAGGCTGAGGAGGATCGAACAGAACAGGGCTGCTGCAGTGGTCATTCCTAGCTGATTAGTCCTGGAACCAGCAGAGGGTTGATATTAGTTGGAACAAGTTAGGACCTTCCTCCTTATCCTGGCAATTTTGATTCTATTATTGGAGAACAAATAACTGCCAGCATTTAATTCTGCCTCAT